TAAGCGTCTGCCTTCAGCTCAGGTCATGATCCCAGGGTCCTGGGATCGAGCCCCGCATCGGGCTCCCTGCTCAGCAGGAAGCCTGCTTCTCCCTCTCCCCCTCCCCCTGCTTGTGTTCCTGCTCTCGCTGTCTCTCTCTGTCAAATAAATAAATAAAATCTTAAAAAAAATAAAAATAAAATAATAACAACTAATATCTATTGGCTATAAACTGTATTCCAGACACTGTAGTACTCCCATTCTCCCTTTCCATATTCTCAACACTCCTCTACGATGAGAACCTTGTCAGTAACGAGGTGTCCTGTCTAGAAGTATGGGCTCTGCAGTTGGACTGGGATTCAGCTCCCAACCCTGTCATTTACTAGGTGACCTCGGGTGGTTTATTTTACCCCTCTGAGCCTCAATACTCTCATTAGTGAGATGTGCATTATTATAATTGCACCTTATAACAATAATACCCATCAGATTGCTGGAAGAATTGAGTTGCCAGGCATAAAGTGCTCAGAAGAGTCGGTGGCCTAGAACAGTGCGTGAGCCAGCTTGTATCAATCCTATTTTGCAAGGGCAGGATCTTGCGCTAGGCCACAACTAGCCATCAGAAAAGCCAGGATTGGAGGCCAAGCATATGACACTCAGCCAGTATGCTAGCAGGCGGGCCATTTGCCTGAGACAGTCCTGGCTTATGCCTGTCATCTGAGGATCCAGTTTAGCATGTGTCCAGAACCAGTGTTCCAGTTTATATACACTGCATATACATGGATGTGTATAAAACTCAAATTTATTAACACAAATGTGTTTCATCACTCACAAGCCAAGTCATCAGGACACATGTATATACCCCAAGCTCCTTCTTCCCAGCCAAGGTGGGCTAGACTAAGCCATGCATCCTTGCAGCAAATGCATATTGAGTGCAAATGCATTTTGAGTGCTGTGAGCCAGACTGGGGATCTGGGACAAGGGGTTGGGAGGGAGTGAGATGGGGGGACAGATGTGTGTGCCACTACGTTGACACCAGGTAAATAAAGCACCAATGGTAATGCAGATTTGGGACCCGTGCCAGGGGTGTGTGGGGCTGTGAACTTGAGCAGGGCGCTGAACTATCCAGGCCTCTGCTTGCTGGCCTATAAAGTGAGGGGATGGGGAGAACTGTCAGGCCAGCAGCTCTAATGTTTCCTTTCATTTAATGCTCGGTAACTTTGCTGGAGTCCACCTGGAGGGACCAGAGAAAGCATGAGCAGGGGAGGTGGCCTTTCAGCTGGGCCACAAAGGATGAGCCGGCTTGCAGTAAATGGGGCCTGGGCACCTGCAAGTGAAAAATCCTATTTGCAAAGGTCCTTGGGTGTGGAAAGTCCTGGCCTGCTGGAAAAAAGACTGGAGGATGAGGCTAGGGATGCCATGGGAGGAGAAAGTGTCACGGGCACCTGGAATGCCCCCCTCAAATGAGGCTCATCCTTGGAAGGTGGTCTCGCCCTTGAGGATTCTCCTCTTCAGCACCTTGCTCAAGCCAACTATGGGAACGGATTCTGAGAACACAAACACCCTTGCGAAAACCCATGCGCACCTCAGAGAGAACCCTTCTTCCCGTAATTTCTCTTCAGAGCAGGAATCGCCGCTTGACCACGTGTTATGGATTACCTTCGTTAGTTGCTTATTTTCCCTCTCCCCATGGACTGTAAGTTCTATGAGAACAATATCTGTGCCTGTTTGTTTACTCTGCTATTGCTAGTGCCTGGATTGGTTCGGTGCGCCACTACTATATACGCACAGCAGACACGGACGCATCCAGAAGCATATATGCATGCAAGCCTCAGACTTTGGGGTGGAAAAGAATTGGCTGGAAGAGGAAAGCAGGGCCTTTGTGGGGGAGCAGGTTTAAGTGGGTTGCCAGGAGAGCAAGGAGGGTAAGGAAAAAGAGGGACTGACCGCTCTGGAAATAAGAGGCACTTAGTGTGGGGCCATGGGCACTTTTGGGAAGCAAAGGGGGAAGATACCCCGAAGCTCCCATGCCTGCCCATCCCGGCGTGCCCGGGCTCCTTGCTCACTGCAATGTGATAATGCCTGCCTCACACTGTGTGGACTGGTGGCCCAGTGCCCGGGAAGCCCCGAGCCTGCCCAGAGGCATGTCAGTAACAAATCTCAACTGTCCCTACTGGGCCAGAACCGGATGGCAGAGACTCCTGTCCAGCCAGAGACCCAGAGGGAAGCAAGAATTAGATGGAGAAAAGTTAGAGGGGCACTGTGGATGCCAACATCCCGGGCAACACATTCGACACTGAGAATGCCATGGCACTGATCGTTTATTGCAGGAGAAGCAGAGAACTGGACATGACCCAAAGCAGAAGACAAAGAGAGTCCCTGGGCTGCAAAGGCCCCAGAACGGCATGGGAACAGAGGGGTTCACACCTGGCCGCAGGGAGACATCCACGTAGGTGTGTAATCTCTGCACTGGGGGCAATGAGCCAGTGAAAACCGGCCAAGGAGGAGGTCACCGGGAGCACCCCTGACTGGACTTCCCACCTCACAGTGGGCACCGCCGAGGACCACAAGGCGAGGGGATGGTGCGGGGATCATGGCCACAGAGGAAGGGCTTCCTGGTCTGGACGGGGCGGGGCGGGGGGCTGCAGGGGGAGCAGCTGGGCCCTGCAGCTTTCCGCTCACAGAGCCAACCGCCCGCCCAGCCAGCCCTTCACCTCGAGGCCTTCCTGGCTGCACAGCTGCCCCCTGAGCTCCTGGGCAGGGGATCCTTGAACTCGCTGCCACAGCTGCCTTTGGTTTTGACGTCCACGCCCACAGGCTTGAAGCTGTAACTGCTCTGGGCACCAAAGCCCACGCTGAAGCCAGCCCCTGCTGCCGCCGCGCCGGTGTTGCTGATGATAGCTGCAGCGGGCGAGAGAAGATGCGGGGCTGCGGGCCTTCCTGGGGCATCCCGGCCACTCCCTCGATGCCCTCCCCCATCGGGACAGAGTCCCTCGCTGGGTACTCCCAGTGTCCTCGGAGGTTTTCTGCAGCACGGATCGTTTCTCAAGGATCTGGCCCCGTGTATTTGACCTTTTCCCATTAGTCTGTTTCCCTCCACCAGCATCAGACTTGGAGCCTTAGCAGGCTCTGCCCGTGAACTTCCCCCACAGGATGGGCCACTTGACCAAAGGCCCTTCACGGAGGCCCCTGGTGCTGGCCCCACAGAAGGGGCTGCAGGCCTAGCCCCCCCTCTCCTGGAGCAGCACCTCACCTGCACCTGCACCATCTCTAGCTTTTCAATCTGCAGAAGGTTGTTAAAGCCCTTCCAACGCCCCGCCCTCAGTCCCTCCGACCCCCCAGCCCCAGTCCCTCTTACTGCAAGCTGAAGCCTTGGTTTTGGTCTGGCCTCAAGAGAAATACAACATGGCCAGTCAGCCTCATTCTTATAAGAGGCTTTTGGATTATACACTGTTGGGTATCCTTTGATCTTTCTATAGGCTGTACGTTGGTATTTCATGGTATTATTTTTCTCCCATCACTGCTTCTCATCGGTGACTAAAGCCAGCCCTCTCTTGCTGCCCCTAAGTCTCTCCTGAACCCTCTCTAGTGTCATGGAATTGGAGGCTCAGACTTCTGATAGGTGACCACGCACAGAACCCAGGCCTGCAGGTACTTACAGATGCTCACGGAACTGGGATGTTCACCAGACATCCTGGAGAGAGAGAGAGGAAAAGCAGGTAAACCTGTAAAGCAGCCCTGCATCTCTGCATCTCTGCATCTCTGCATCTCTCCGGGGGCTCACAGAGGTGCCCCTCAGGACGCACACCGTCCACCCCATCCCAGCCTCCCTTCCTCCCACACACCCCAGCGGGACCTCTGCTGGGAAGGCTCACTTCTCCATCCCTCAGAGGGGCTCCAGGTGATCTGATGGGTGGGGTCATCGTGGCCCTGCTCGCCTCAGTTATGCCAGTGGTCTCACACAATTAAGACGAACAAGTTCACCTGCCCGCTGGGTCCCAGGCTTTGCCAGAGTGACCTGGCACTTAGCTGACTCCTGGAAGCCATCTTGCCCCTCCCCGCCTCACACCCTTAAGCATGCAACACAAAGGGCCAGGGAGGCTCTGTTTCTCAAAAGCTGCTGATGTCAATATTTCCTCTCCCGCCTCCTCTTTGAGATTTTTACAACTCAGTCCTTCCTGCAGTCTAACTTTGGTCTTTCCTATTGCACTATGCCAAACCCATTCCCTGTAAGGTTTTACCCAGTAGGACCTGAACAGAACCAAACTGTTTGCCTTCAGTCGTCCTACTAAAGCAGAGAGATAACTGCTTCAGATAAAAGATAATCTGGCCCCCCACCTGCACTCCTCGCCCTCCAGCAGCTTGCGGTAGGTGGCGATCTCCATGTCCAGGGCCAGCTTCGTGCTCATGAGCTCCTGGTACTCGCGCAGCATCCGGGCCAGCTCCTCCTTGGCCTGGTGCAGGGCGGCCTCCAGCTTGTCCAGCTTGGCCCGGGCGTCCTTCAGGGCACAGTCGCCCCGCTGCTCGGCATCGGCGATAGCCGTCTCCAGGTTGGAGCACTAAGGGGCAAATGCATTCAGTGCTTTGAGTCAGAACAGAGTTCTGAGATCCTGCTCAGACTACCTCCTCTCATTTGGTCCTGACTGATTGTAAAAGCTTTGAGGTCCTCCTAGTTTCTCCACCTCTGGACATCACTAGCGATGAATCTGTCCTTCTTCTAACTCCAGGCACGGTTCACCTCCGCTCATGCAGGGGCACATGAAGATGGCGTTTCCCTCCCTTGGGAGAGAGGAGGAAGGGCACCAAGAAGGGAGCCTCCTGGGCATGTGGCCCCTGTCCTTCCCCTCCTGGTCTGTAACACTTGCTGCAAGATTCTAATGCCACCCCCGAAAAGTCTTGGGGTGACTGGCTTAATTATGCCCCACAGTGTAGAGGTTGTCTTGAGAGATCCTGTAAATCGTACACAAAACAAAAACCAAAAAAGAGAGAGAGAGAGAAAGGAGGAGAGTACTAATAAAGTTCCTATTAAGAAAATTTCTGCCCAATAAACCTGCCACACGGAGTCTGGCCTCCAAAATGCCATGGAGAATCATGCTACAGGGCAACACCCTCAAAAGATACTTTTGTGAACAGCAGGTCCCACTAGCTTACAGATACCTGTTGTGAGGTGGGAAGGCAACTTGCAGTACAAAGCTGTGGATGGGGCTCTATGCCGCATCCAGGAGAAGCTGCCAGGGGCTTCTTGAGTCTTTTAGTCTTTGGGATGTGTTCCCATCACTTGGCCAAGGTCTTGGTGGGTCTTAATATCTGGCTTCTCTTTTCTGGTGTGTCCCCTTCCTCTGGAGTGAAATTTGCTTCACCCCAAGGAGAGCAGCTGATCCCGAGGCCAGATAGAATTCTAGACTGTTGTCCAGCCGGTGCCACTCCCTCTGCCAGGCAGACCCTTAGCCATGCAAACACCCACAGTGTTTGGGGTGAGTGGCTCACAGCCTCCGTGGAGACACCTAGTACCCAGCTGTCTGGCCACAGAAGACCATGTCCCATCCTAGGGACTGTGGAGGTCTAATCATTCAGGGGGTGGCCAGACACTCTGTGACCTGAATTCTATCAAACTGTGCTCTGCTCCTTTTCACTGACTGAGGTCCTGCAGGGTGAGCCGGGGAGACTCCTGGGTCTTGTGAATGTGGCATGAGGTGAAAGGGCATGAAATCTGGGCGTCCTTGGAAACAATTATCACGTGGATCCTGGGATCACTGAAAGCCAAGAGAGTCTGCAGGTGAAACCATGAGCTTCTTTGGTGGAAAGGCCAGAGGGCAGGAAAGCACCTTGGCTTGGGGCCCTCAAGAGGAGCTGCAATGGGGATCAAGCATTGAGAGTGACCCTCACTGGCTCCTGGAGGACATCTTCCCTGAAGTCCCTGGTGGCATTCTGATCACAAAGTCACTTTCTGGTAATAAGCTCACCCAACCATGAACACGTAGCATTTTATCAGATAAATATTATAATCAGATACTGAGGGCAGCCTCAAACACCTTGTGTTTTTCTTTCATTTATGCAAAACTTGATTAAATGAAAACACCATGAGTTCTTATTTAAGTGGTCTTTTTTTTTCTTTCCACTACCATGAGCCGGGTGCACAGAGGAGAGGATGTGTGTGCATGTATATGCGTGAACGTGGTATGTGTGTGTGTGTGTGTGTGCAGGGCAGGGAGGGGCCACTGAAGAAGAGGACGAAGCGACAGGGCCACTTGACTTGTTCGGGAAGCTCAGAGCCTTTGTGCCAGCCTCCACAAACTCTGGGAAACTCATGGGCTTGTTTGCTTTAAGAACACCAGTGTGGTCCATAGTGCACCCAGAGTCATGGGGTCACTCAGTGCCGGGCCACCACGCACAGCACAGCCATGGGGATGGACAGACACAGAACAGAGCCCTGGGCCAAGCCAAGGTGGGAAGCTCTCTCTCCTCCCCTCTTCTAAGTTCCACGGCTGGGCTCTCCTTCCTCCAGCACGGATCCATCACGTGAAAGCTCCAAACGGCTCCTTTTAACCTACTGCATCAGGTCTAAACTCCACTGCCCCGCTTCGAAGATGCCCCTAACCTGCCCATCCTACACGGTGGTGTCCTGCCGCCTGCCACCCCAGTCATCACGGAACTTCTGCTTAGGGTAGGTGCATCTCCTCCCTGTACACACGCCATGCAGTGCCCACCTTGGACCCCCTGCTCCTGCTGGCTCCCTCACCAGGACCTGTCCCCCTCTCTTTCCCACCCCACCTCCTACAGGAAGCCTTCGCTGGGGTCTTCATTCTGCTCTGGCCACTCGGGACTCCTTAGGGAGCAGGCTGCACAGTGGGTGCAATGTTTAGTCTTTCTATGTGGGTTCAGGCTATTCTCTCCTCATGGATTATACACGCCCTAAAGAGGGGCTGTGTCTTGTTCTTGTTCCATATTTAGTCTCATACCTCTGGTGCTCAATAAACCCTGCTAGCTGACTCATTTTATGGAACCCACCTGCTTCTTCACATTCCCTATCTCTGAGCGGATCCTCTGGATCAGGCGGTTGAGCTCTGAGATCTCAGCCTTGGTGAGTTTGAGGTCATCCCCATGCCGGCCCGCGGTGACCTGCAGCTCTTGGATCTGAGGTTGGGGATGAGAGAAGAGCACAGGACAGTTAGGAATTCACCTCATAAGGGTGTTGAATGGAAGGGAGCCAGGGGGTTGACACGCTGTTTTCATTGCCTGAGCAACAAAGGCACAGGGAGGAGAGAGGGAGGGGAAGGGGGGGGAAGACCACCCTTTCTTTCTGGACTGGAAGGTCCTGACCCAGCTCAACGGGATCCTCAGGCCCACAAATGTGAAAGCCTCAGTGGAGTCAGAATTTCCTGTCCTGATTTTGACAAAGCGGGAAACATGAAGAAAAGCCAAGATGGATGGATGGATGGATTACCCACAGAAACGGTGTCAGAGTCTTCCCAGGGTTGTGGCAAGTGTGGCCTCTGCTGTCAGCAAGGGCCACCGCAGGGCAAGGGCTAAGCCCATATATGCCCCCAACACACGCCAAGACTGTGGATGACCTCCCAGCACCACAGGGAGGCATTTCAACAAGGCCCAACTCCAAGACAAAGGAGGTCTCAACCCAGCCTGATACCCCCATATCCACACACATGCGTGCACACACAGCACACGCACATGCACGCATGCACGGGGAGAGAGAGGCGGCTGAGGTCACTGGGCCTCCGCACACCTGGCACGCAGCCCACCTTGGTCTGGTACAGCGCCTCGGCCTCGGCCTTGCTCTTCAGGGCGGTCTCCTCGTACTGGGTGCGGACCTCATCGATGATGCTGTCCAGGTCCAGGTCCCGGTTGTTGTCCATGGACAGGATGACGGAGGTGTCGCTGATGTGGGACTGCATCTGAGCGATCTCCTGGAGAACAGTTAGGGAGGTGGAGCCAGTTAGAGGGCCTCCACAAGGGGAGCCCTGGAAAATCCCTCGCTGCCCTTCCGCAGTGTTTGAACTCCACCTTCCGCAGAGCCCACCAGCGCCCGCCGGGAGTGAGGTGAATGCATCGGGCTTTCCGCCCCAGCATGGGACTGCCCTCTCCATTCTGCACTCAGGACTGCTTCCATCCCTGCCCCATGCTCGACAGCAACGGCCACCCTTCATCCGTAGAATTAATTCTGAACTCCTCAGGTGGCCTACAGAGCCTTTCCGGAGTCGCTGACCCCCTTCCCTTCTCCAGGCCCCTCATACGTGACCCACCTCAGACTGCTCATCCCGCTCCTTCATGCTGCACCTGGGCCATTCTCAGCATCCCCCAAGATCTTCCTCATCCTTCCCCAGGAACCTTCCCCTGCAGCTCAGGCAGAATTCACTACACCTCCCTCTGTTCTCATCCACAGGTTGTTTTCCCTACCAGACTATGACTCCCTGGAGGACAGAAGTCAACCCTTCTCCACCATGGCCTCCTCAAAGCCCACATGGAGCTACCAACCTTTGGTCTACATGTCCATGCAGTCTGAGGGCCAGAAGCCCCTCACTGGAGGAGCAGATCACATAGGAGAGCTCAGTGAAATCCTTACCCCTTCATAGAGGCACTTGAAGAATTTGATCTCCTCTGTCAGGGAGTCCACCTTGGCCTGGAGCTCCACCTTGTTCATGTAGGCGGCGTCCACATCCTGGGGGATCCAGAGAGGAGCTGGCTGCCTTCCCCTGCCCTCCCTCCCTGCCATAAGGAGCCTTGGGTGCCCTACTCTCATCACTCTTCTCACCCTGTGCTTCCCAGGGAGGTCCGCTTGCTGAGAGTAAACCAACCAACGGGCAGGGCAAAGGCCGTGCCAGAAGTGTGCCGAATGTCTGGATTCCAAGCTGGCTGATTCTGGGAGCAGCGTGCATCCCAGGCAAGGGGACTTAGACAGAGGAGCTGGGAAATTAGAACCCCAGTAACCCCTGCCCAAGGGACTGAGTGACCCACAGCCTACCAACATCACGGTGTCAGGCACTCGGGGAGCCCTCAAGGCTTCTTCCAGCCCTTCCTGCTCCCCTCTCACCTTCTTGAGCACCACAAACTCATTCTCAGCAGCTGTGCGTCTGTTGATCTCCACCTCGTACCTGTGTGCGGCAAAAGAGAGGAGGTGGCGTTGCCATTGGGATAATTCAGTTCTGCAAAGGCTCACTGAGCAGTCAGTGAGCACCTCGGCGCCAAGAGCTGCATGGCAGTGGCCTACACCCTGGGATTCCAGTACCCCTGGGGTATGCACAGCCTTCCAAAAGGGACTTGACAAGAATAGGTTTAAAGGAATCAATGTGCAACTCCTTAGTTCCCATGTAACCTACCCTACAATGCATCTGCCCGGGAATGCACCTGTGATGGGCTTCCACATCCCTCCTCCCTTTCACAACTACCCCTCCCTTGTGACAGCAACATTAGTACCTACATTAGTACAGTGCATTAGCCCAGGGTACAAAACCTCCCAGGCACCAAACAAATACTATCCCCACCTTCAAGTTGTATGTTCTACTTGTTTTTTATATATATTTCTGTTCCAGGTGAAGCAAGGTCTTAGAAACAGGATGTCTGGATAGGGCTGGGATGTTCTTCACGAAGATACATTGTAGACTAAGGAGATGGAGTATTGATCACTTACAGACCTCACTGTTCCATCTCTTATTATTGTAAAGGAATGTATTACAGGACATTTGTGTTGGGAAATGGAAGAGAGCCCTGGAAAGAAATAATTAGTGCTAGCAAATGGCTTTCTTCCGCATCCTTTAATGTGAGCTATCCTTTTCAGCTTCTTACTGCTTCCTAAGGCATGCCACTGGCTGCCAAGGGGAGAAAAGCCTTGTCAGATGACAGTATAGGTTAGTGAAATGGGTTATTTTAAAAATGCGACTGGAACAGTTTCTGAGACTGTTGGATTGTGTTAGTTATACTGGATAGAACACACAGAAAACAGTTGGTATGATTTATCTCAGATTCCAGCTGTGTTATTTAAAAGATAATTGAATACTTCCTTGTATCAAATTATATTATGATAGAGTTGTTTCTATTACAATTATCATTATCTCTAATTATCTCAGAAAAGATTCCATATTTCTTCCTCCTGTTAACAAATCAGAGCATATGCTAGTTGCAGACTAGTTTTTAGCCTACCTTTTCTATTTCATAAAACAGAGAAAAAGTTTGGTCATGATGGCTATCAAATTAATGACATTCATGTGTCATAATTTTTCATCATTTACTTCTAGAGACCGAACACCAGAGCACACATACACACACATTTATAAAGAAAAACAATGCATTTTTAGTACTATTGGCTTTATCAATAACTCATGATTTACAAAATACATTAGGATGCACAATTAAAAGTTAGACCATAACAAAGTGCATGTTAATTTTTATCTAGAACATAAATGTATTAATTTGTGTTCTAGACATAACCCTAGAACATAGATGTATTAATTATATAAAATCTATATCACTTTAATCTTGAATGCTTCCAGTAACCTATTGTACAAGATGTCACCTCTAGTTTGTTGCTAGGTGGATTTTATAACAGTTCCTAATTCATTTCCTTATTTCATTTCATCCCACAGCAACCCTATCAAGTAGATTCTATCATTAGCATCTCTCAATTTTATAAGTGAGGCAAAGACTTTTCCAAGGTCACAAAGCTACTAAAGCTGGGATCCCAATGACATCAGGGAAACAATGCCTTAGATTTGCCTAGCACTTTGGTTCTTTGAAGAGCTGTTAATACATTACTATCAGCATTACCCTCTCAACAGCTCTTTTAGGTGGCAAGGCAGGTGTCAGTAACTGAATTTTATAAATATTAAAACTGAAGTCCACAGAGGATCAGGAGGCTCACCCGTCATCAACTCAACTGAGTGGTAATTCCAGAATACCTGGCCTTCCAGAGGCAGCACGGCCTTTGGAGGCCTCTGACCTGGACATCTGGGCTGTGCCCAGAAACCCCTCTTTTCTTCCTAGAATTCTGCTCAAATCTCCACTGGGCTGCAATTTCCATCTTAATGCCACTCAATCTCAATTCACACTGTATTCATTTCACTTCCTGGGGGCTCTCTGAAAGTCGTCTTCAAGCCTGTCCCCACAATCTGGGTGCTTTCAGAGGTCAGAGACCATGCCACCTCCTCCCTCAGGACTCCATGCAGGACTCAGGGCAGAGTTCCACTTGGGGGTAGTTCAGAATAGGGATGGCCAGGCAGATTGAACGTGGAGGAAGAGAAATTGCTCAGCTCTGACCATCTCTCTAACCCCTTGAATTGTGGAAGAAATTATCTTTCCCTAGAAATCCTGGCACCTGGAAGCAAACTTCCAAAATATCAGATCACACTGAGCCAGGATGTGTCATACTCTCCTCACTGGCTCAAACTTGGGAGAAATTATTTCTGGTTCCAAGTACATTTTCAATCATTCTCTTTAATGGTGGGATTCAGCAGCACAGATACACCTCAACATGAAAAACATTTTTAAAACTCTTATTTGCTTAGCTTTAGGATTTGTTCTGGGATTGGTGTCATGGATCATGTTCTAGGTACTCCCATGGAAGACCTCACGCAGGAGGAGCTACAAAGCCATTTGGGTTGTCCATCTGGTTTTGAGACAACTCTCCTGTCCCCATTTCTCCATTTCCAATGTTAAAAGTTGGGCACACCTTTTCCCAGACAATTCAGGGCACCACTCTGGATAAAGCTTTTCTCTTCCTAAGTCTCATCCTGTCTGGATCTCCCTCCCTCCCCTATGGAAAAAGAAATAACAAATGTTATCAGCAAAGGATGGAAAAAGGCAAAAATGCTGACTCTAAATCAAAACCTCATCTGTAATCAAGACCCTCCAGGGGCAGATTCTCTCCCTCTCCACTCACCTCTTCTTATAGTCCTCCACTAAATCCTGCATGTTCCTCAGCTCTGAGTCCAGCCTCACCCTGTCGCCTGTCTGTGTCTCCAGCTGCTTCCGCAGGTTGCTGATGTAGCCCTCGTAAATGGGCTCCAGGTTCTTCCTGCAGTTGTTCAGGTCCAGCTGCTGTAGCAGGTTCCACTTGGTCTCCAGCACCTGGTTCTGCTGCTCCAGGAACCGCACCTGGGATCCGAAGGTGGTCATAGCCCAGAATCCCCATGCTGTTGCCTCTCAACAGTGGGAAGTGGGCCCCAAAAATCAGACACAGTCATCCTACGGTGGGAGGCAGGAAACAGCAAGCCTCATCAGAGAATGGATTCAGCCAGGGGGACATGCCTATGTGGGTCTCCAAGACAAGAAATAAGATTCAGTCTAAAAGAAATTAAGGAAGTAGGTTTAAGCAAAGCTATAAATGCCACCCTGACTTATCACGTGACGGAGGTAGCTTCTTTTGCCGTAAATGCTGGTGTTTTCAGAGTGAAGGAAGATGGGAAGCAAGGGAGAAACAGTGATGGGGGAATGGCATGGAAAGTCACTCTGGTGGTTAACCTGTCCTCTCTTACGTGCAACCTCCATTGCTCTTGGTTGGTTGGTTTGGTTTTCATTTCAAAGTGGGTTGGTTATCACATCCTTACAAGGTTCCTGCCTCCTTGACCAAAGGTCTCACACGTTTGGACTCAAAAACTTCAAGCCTCTGCTACACACTAGCCTTCCTCTTCTTCCTTTTCTCTGGCTTGAGGGAGAGAAGGGAACATGAGGGGGAAGAACAGATTCTGAAGAGGAAAATGAGCCCTGTCTCCTGGGATAGCAACTCCGTTTCTTCCACTCCTGCCCCCTCGCCTCCAACTACCTCCCTTCCTCTTCCCGAGCACAGTGTTGAGGCATACAGTCTGCTGTTGCTGTTCTATCAACTGGGGGGCATGTTTCTTAGCCTCCCTCTGTCCTGGCTTCCTCATCTGCAAGGCAGAATGATAACAGAACCGCGGGTCATGTGTTGATATATGAGAACCCCTTAGGACAGCACCAGGCACTGAATAATGTCAGCTATTGTCCGGGTTATGTCCCCTGTGACTCATGGGTCCAGATCTTCTGCCCCGGCTTGGATACAGAAGCCTATTCCTTCTCTCCTCTCCATCCTTCTGGGTCACTGCCTCTGAGTCACCAGGGACATCTTCCCTTTTAACCCCTGCATGTCCCCCTCCCCACAGACACAACAAAACGCACACACGGAACTCGACAGGCCCTTCTTCTCAATCTTCTCCCCTCAGCCCCGCCCTTCAATTTTCTGGTCCTTTTCTCTCATCTCCTCTAGAAACCTTCCTGGCTTATACCCCCAGCCCACTTCCTACCTTTTAAGTCCTTCCCCTTCACCAAGCATCATGTCTTGTGATACTCCCTGGTCAGTGTCCCTCTGGTGCTCCTGTCCTGGATATGTGTCCCCATCTCCTTGTCTGATATTGAGAACTCTCAGAGGGCCATTCCACATGTCTCCTCCCTCTAGAGCACCCCTTTCCATCCCAGGGTCTTGTCCCCAAAGGAAAACTGAAGCACTGTTCCAGCCCTTTATAAACATCCAATTCATCCTCACATCCTCATGTGGAGTAAAAGCCGCTGTTGTGCCCGTTTTACAGATGAGCAAAGGGAAGCTCAGAAAAGATAACCAACTCGCCCAAGTTTTCGCGCAGCTGTCAGTAGCAGAGCGAGTACCCCTGGGCACCCTGGCCCATTCAGGGCCAAACGGATGCCTGAGGACCCACCTTGTGGATGAAGGAGGCGAATTTGTTGTTCAGCGCCTTGATCTGCTCCCGTTCCTGGGCGCGCACCTTCTGGATCTCAGGGTCCAGCTCCACATTGAGGGGGGCCAGGAGGCTCTTGTTGACCGTGACCTGAGGGATGCCGCCGGGCGGACACACGGACGGACACGCGGGCCCCAGCCCGGCGCTGCCGAAGACGGTGCCCACGAAGCCGCCCAGCCGGCCGCCGCCGCCGCCGCCGCCGGAGCCCGAGCAGTGGCCCAGCGCGAAGGCGCCGCCCCGCCCGGCCGCGGCGCACAGGGCCAGGCGCCGGCCGCCCCCCAGGCTGAAGAGGCTCCTGCTGCCGAAGGCGGCCGTGCCCTTGACGGCGGCCGTGGCCTTGGAACGGAACGAGGCGGAGCTGGCGCTGACTCGGCCCGAGATGACGGCGGAGCAGCCGCTGAAGCCCGGGCGCTCGCCGGCGGGGCGGTGGTGCAGCTGGCGGCTCATGCTGCGGGGACGCGCTGCGGGGCGCAACCGGAGGCGAGACGGGGGTGCAGAGGGCGGCTCTGCTGGCCTGCCTCGCTCGCCCCTAACCCCTTAAATAGCGGGCTGCAGGCAGCCTAATTTGTAGGTCGCGCACATCTATTAGCCACACGGGGCCTCTCGGGTTCTCCGTTTAGGAAATTATCACCCCTCCCTGAGATTTTTGTCTCTCCCACCCCGAACGCCCCATGAATCCCCTATAAAATGGCCCTGAACCCTGCATTTGCTTTGCTTACCTCCTGCATTATAATAATTTGGCTACCTTATCTCCACTTGCTGCCCTCCAATTACTGGGGTTATCAGGGCCAAGAGCTGTGGTAAAAACTTCCAGTGGGTCTGGCTGAGGGTAGGGGGAGACACCCCGATGAGGTGGAGGGGCGTGGTACAGGGGAGCAGATGTCCAGGCCAGTTCTGTTTCCGAAAGACAGGAACGGGATCAAAAATATTCCAGAGAATCATCTTTAGCCTGTGGCTGCTGCTTCCCCAGACTTCTGGATGAGGACGGCTCTGTCCTGAGTACTGGAAGGAAGTCCCAGAGGGTAGAGACTTCTGGCCTATCTGCAAGGAATTCTCAATCTGTTGAAGAAGACCAGACACAGTGACAGAGTTAAAGCCAGTGAGCGCCCGGGCGCGGGTGGTGCTGGGGGTGGGGGGTGGGGTGGGCCGGTGTTCTTTGGGCCAGAGCTAAAAGAGTTCTCCAGAAAAACATTTCTGGAATAAAAGTTAGAGAGATACTAACTGAGAAGAAGGGAAGGGGGCCTGAGGAGATGGTGTAGGAAGATGGTCTTTCATGAAGTTTGAGTTTTTTTCTTTTTCTTTAATTGCAGAAGAGGATCATTCATCCCATCCAAGGAACACCTGATCAGGACATTTGCTGTCCTGGCATTTCTGATTCCAGATCAAGATGTGACTGAGTATTAAGAACAAGTTGAGAAGGGCCAAGGAAGATGCCTCCAACCTGAAAAATCCAGAACTAGATTCTAGAACTTCATTCCAAATAAGCTCAGGAGTATCTTTTCCGATCTAACCCAATTTCCTTTTCCAACTTAAGTTGATTTAATTCTCCTCTTCTTTCAGAAGAGCTCCATCCCATACTGCTCTTCTGGTACCCAGGCAGCATTCTTTCATCACTCTTATTTCTCAGTCTGTCTGAGTCCTGGGTGTGTGTCCCATTTCCACCATCAGATTAATAGGTGCCTGGATTAACCCTTCCCTCCCCTGCTCAGCCCCAGCCTCGGCACTAGGGACATTCAGGATGAGTGTGAAACAGACTGGTGCTTAGAACGAGGCTCATCGCTGTCCCTCAGTTATACCCTGGGGCCTGGGCTCCCCTTGGAGCCCTCCTGGGGTGGCCAGATGGCACCTGGGGGTAATTGAGTGACACAGTCTCCGCTGGAACCAATCACAGAGCATAATAACAGCCAAGGTGTTTACCCCACAGGGAACGAGGCTGTGGGGGCACTGGTGAGTGATAGAGATGGCGCCAGCCACAGATGAACAGATAGAAGAGTCTGGAATGTCCTGGGTGGGAAAGAGGGTGGGCTCTCTACTCTGCTTCAGGGGAGACAATGAGGTCCATTCCCTCTGGAGAGGGGAGAGGCAATGTCAGTGAAGCTGGGTGACCAGTGGGCCCCTCAAGAAGCTCAAGGTTATGCTTCCCATTATTTCATGAGATTGCTTCCTACACCCCATAAATTTAGCCAGTTTTTTTTCCCACAAGCACGAGAGAGAGTTTATTAACTCTGGTCATTGAGAAGAGAAAAGTGGGAAAGTATTTAAATTGAAGCAGGAGAAACTTATATAGGATTGCCTTTCAAAGAGGCTTTGAAGTCTCCTTTTTTGGAAAGTTCTTAAGAATTTGCCTCTGGAACCAAGCCACTTCTGCCCAGGGTCAGGGAACAGGGAGGATGACATTTTCTTATCTTCCTGTGAGGGGTTGACTGGCTGGATGAATCAGGAATTCCTGAACCGCCGGGCTCACCTTTCTTACAGATTATGGAGAGACCAAAGTGGCACGTCCAGGTTTCAGAGGCATCGGATGTGTGGGCATGTGGGCAGATCAAAAGGTGGCTGAGGCCTGGGAGGAGGGCTCCTCCTGGCAACTGCTTCTGACAGCAGCTTACTGTGTCATCTTGGGCTCCGTGACTACCTCTGCCATTAGTTCTGGGTGAAAGCAACCCCTGGATTAGGAGACAAAGCTACAAACATCACCCTTTGAAACCAGAACTCAACAACAAAGGATGGACAGATGGCTCCTCTAAGCAAGGATTTGCAAACATGTTGTGCTGAAACTGGCTTTCATTTGCCCTGAACACTGCTTCTTAGGAGATTAATAGGTATCATGTAGGAAAAAAGTGTGGGGATGGATTCCCTGTTGGGTTTAAAAAAAAAAAAAAGATGAAGCAGGCATTATACTGCAGGACTTTTTAAATCCATCACTTTTGGATCACTTAGGAAAGCTGCACCAAAGGATGCTACAAAACTCAGTGCTTTCCAAAGACAGTGACTGGGGAGTGAGATTATTAAAAAATAAGGGTTTTTTTCTACTTTTTAATATTTCTGAATTTTCTCATATGAGCATATAGTGTTTTTATAGGTGAGTTATTTAAAAAACAACTGGAGAAGCAAGGGGAGGTAGGCTGATTCTAGAATCAGAAATAAAGTGTTGTTCTTGTCAAAAAAAAAAAAAAATCCAGGTTTCCCAAACCTTTGTTTGACCATAGAGCCCTCTTTTTGGCCAAATATCTTATAAGAACCAGGGTTTCAAGGAATGTGCTTTAAGAGACACAGAACAAGTTCTTTCTATTTCACCATTAGATAGACTAGCATTTCCAAAATCCAAACAGATTTACAATATCTCCTTAAAAACATGAAGGTGAACAAAATATAATTACTGTGGTGTACGGCCAGATCTGGCTTATGGCAATGTGCCCAGCGTTACATTGTCAAAGCCAAAGGCAGGTTGTTTGCTCAGACTGGTGCACCTGTGCCAGTACCATCCATCCCAGCACTGCTCAAGGGGAAAGAATTCTTGGGCTGGTGACCGATGCTGGGGATCTACACTGAGGAAGGTTGTGCCAGAGACTTCCAGTGCCTATCAAGTATCCCCACTCTCCTCCTTATTTCCCAACCACCTCTGGGGATTGGTTGGGACTTGGGGCCATGTCGGCCAGTTAAGTGTGAGTGGCATTGATGTGTGTGAGGCAGTGTGGGATGTGATGTGTGGGATGAGGCAGTTAGCAGCCCATGTGTCTCCTTCATCTCTCTTTTCCCCTGTCCCAGTAACCTTGAAGGCCATGTGTCCCATGTGGCAGGGCTACGAGCCAGAAGCACGTAGGTCTGTGAGACCTCGCTGGGAGAGCCACATGGGAGAGTTGCCCAGATCCGCCGTGGACTGTGAGTGAGAAGTGAACCTCTGTTGTGTTAAGTTAAGCCGCTCAGACTTCAGGGTTTGTCCTTTGAGGCCGTCAGTGTTAATATTCTGGATCCAAGCACAGAAGTCGGATGGTAGAAGTATCTCTTAATAGCCAATGCTTTTTCTCTTGAGTTCCTGTTCATCAAATAATCTGATGGCTATTAAACCTTCTCTATTTCACATCTCACTTAGGCTTTTTGAAAGAATAGTCTATCCTAGTAATACTAAGAGAGTTAATAGTAACAATGATATAATAGCAACTATCTTGAGCACATACTACACAGCAGGTACTGAATTAAATAATTCGCATGCATTCTTTTGTTAAATTTAATTCTCATGACAACTTTATGAAGGAACTTCTATTATTAACTTTTTACAGATGAAGAATCTGAGGCTCATGGAGCAGAAGTATTTTGCTTAAGTCGAGAAGTTAGTGAGTGGCAGAGGAAGACTCCAGCCTGGGTCCATCTGACACCCAAGGTGTTGTCTTCTCCCGTGAACACTACAGCATAAAATCCCAGCTCCATAGCAGATTATTTTTTTAAATAAGCTCCACACCCAGCATGGAGCCCAACTCGGAGCTTGAACTTACGACCCTGAGATCAAGACCCTGAGATCAAGATGAGCTGAGGGCACCTGGGTGGCTCAGTCGTTAAGCGTCTGCCTTCGGCTCAGGTCACGATCCCAGCGTCCTGCGATCGAGCCCCACATCAGGCTCCCTGCTCAGCGGGGAGCCTGCTTCTCCCTCTGTCTGCTGCTCCCCCTGCTTGTGTTCCCTCTCTCACTGTGTCTCTCTCTGTCAAATAAATTAAAAAATCTTAAAAAAAAAAAAGACGAGCTGAGATCAAGAGTCAGATGCATAACCAACTGGGCATGAATCAGGTTTGCATATCCCTGTATGCCAAACACTAATGCATGCCAGACACATGCTAGGTATTCAGTAAGTATTCAGCGACCTGACCACAATTTCTTTACTGGCGCTGAGAATATATTCCCTGAGACTAGTTATTCTGCCAGCCAATTCTCCTTTGGGCAATAAATAAACTGGCAAATAGTTTATGAGATGGTGTCCTTAAAGTTTGGAGCTTGTGAATTGCTTTACCAGCACTAAACACCTCTTTTTTTTTCCTTACTTTAAATTTTTATTGTTATGTTAATCACCATACATTACATCATTAGTTTTTGATGTAGTGTTCCATGTTTCATTGTTTGTGCATAACACCCAGT